GCCGAAAATTGTGATAATCCGTGTCTTTATCACTTGGAAAAAATGACTATACCCTTAAGGAGCCTTTCAATTGATGTGTTGCTTGCGGAATCGACCGTCCTTATGGATGGGAGTTGTGTTACCTCCTGCGGTCGACGGATCTGCTTGACTTTAGAGTGCCAGCCAGTTAATTTATATTGTGTTCCTCCTTAACTTAAGCTAGAATACTATTCTATGGAAAATATCATTCAAACCGATCTGCCAATGAATTCGTGCTGTCTGAGAAGTCGCTATAGCCGCTGTCAGGGGTTCGATCGTTGGCTTTTCCCGCGAGCTTCTTCTGCTCCTCCAGATCATCATCTCCAACTTGGGCACTCTACCTGCACCTATACATTTTTATCACTTATCCTACCCTCCTAGTCGCCTACAGCTCAGACAATGAATCTATTTTGCGATTCTCACAGTTACCAACGGTATTTCGTTGCCTTGAGATTTGATAGGTTTGACTGTCTTCATCGCAATCCAAGGCTCGCTGTTAACACTTGCATTTTGCCTCTCCAGGATATCTCCGTCCCACAGGATTTGACCAACTCCCAAGGAAAGAAAAGGATAGTCTACCTGACTGGGTGGTTCACCGCACATGGTTCCCCAGTGAATGATTGATGACCGATATTGAACAGTGGCTGTGATTACTAGATAACGGGAGAGTCCCGTCGGTTCTGTCTGCTTACCTTTTCTCGAGCAACTAGTTCCACGTCTCTAGGGAGACAGCGCAGGGAGTAAAGATGCCGGCAATGTTTACGTCCTCCTTCAAGTATGCCCTTTGAACCCCGTCACCAATTCATTCAAACATTGACTGAGTTGTATGCTCTTCTTATCTCTAGTTACAACCTCCCGCTCAGCCGACTCTAGACAACTCCCCCATCTACAAAGCAATGAAATTTCGTTCCAAACTTTCGCGCCTCAAGGAAAGCCTCTCTCGTACTCGCCGCAAGGTTACGCGCTGGTTAAGTTGTGATTCGGATAAAGAAGGCTTCTCTCCCAGCCTGGAGAAGCGGCCATTGGCCGAACCCGTCCAAAGAGACCCCTTTGAAACCCTTACTTTCAAGGAAGACAATGCTATCCCTGTTATAGAACCGTTTGCGGATCTCTCCTCGCCACCAAATGACTCCGCCGCAAGGCCGCGAGGACTGAACAACACCCAGCGATGTGAATGCCAACTCCTATTCCGTGAAAGATTGAGAGAAGTCATGGTCAACAGCTTGATGCCTGCCCTCGAGGAGTTCAGGTCGTGCCACTGTGGAAAACGCCATCGTTGCGTTGCTGCCAATGATGCTTTATCGTCAAGTGGCTACGACACCATGTCGACGACCACCTTCCTTCTAGCCCATAGGATTCGAACCTCGTATCTGAGTAGGGTGTTTGGAAAATCTCTCGAGACACTTCGGAACGAGCCTCTGTCTTGTTTTCGGCGGGACCGTCGGCTGTCACTAGGCCCGCTGCCACCTAGACCCATCTCACAGCGAAGGAACGAGAGAAACCTGATCGTGCCTGTGCCTCGTGGCCAGGCAATATATATGGGGAACGATGAAAGTGGAAGGCATATATTTTCGCGATGTACCGGCCGCCTTGAATCTGAGCAGCAGAGAACATCTCGCGAAAATGTTATGTCGTGGATCAACACCCTTCCTGACGTTGCCGACTCTGCTATGTTGAATGCTTCAATTTACCCTCAGCGACTGCGTCGTAAGCGAAGAATGTCGAATTTGAAGTCGTCACAAACGAAGGACAATGACGAGCGTGACGTCTTAAGCATTTGAACGGTCAATGCACGTGGGCACAGCGGACCAAGAATACTTTG